AACTGATCTTGAACAAGCTTCTGTTCAAAACATAGCAAAGCACAGCTCAAACCTCAATTATTGGTTTTATTTCAGAAAATTCTGAGTAAAAAAGTGAAAACAGACTTTGTGAAAGTCTGTTTTCACTGTGAGTTTACAGTGTGTCAAAAAGAATAAATGAACGATTCAGTGGGTTCAATCATATGTTCTTCAATTAAAAAAATAAACCAAGGCAGCGTTTTAAACACAGCACACATTGTATAAGAGAAATCCCAAAACGAATTTGCAGCATGTCAAAGAGTTTAATTTTCCAAAAACACAAGTGGTGCATAGTCCATGTTTTGTCTTCCAAGTACACCCTTGAGGAAAGGGATAACTCTGAAGAGATTAATGTGAAAGTCTCTGGAGTTTGGCGTTGATTCTGTAACACCACTGGCTGTGCACACTTGCTGGCTTCCCCAGCTGACCAATGCGACCTGTCAAAAAAACAAAACAAAAAAACAATTGGTTATTTAAAATATTGGTTATTTAAAAAAGAATGTACAAGGTAAAATGACATGAACTTATTTTCTTAGTGAATTTATTCCCTAAGGTTATACTTGGTTGTGATGTACAAAACAAAGTAGCTGATTTAGATTTCACTGATTTGCCCTCACATGTAAGATAGCCTTATGGAGCGGTCGTACACGACTTATCGCTTTACTGTTTCTGCTTTCTCCTTGACAATCACGGGGTTGAGTCCTGCAAATTGTCAACTCACCAATGTGCTACCACTCACGCCACCAAACCAAGGAAATCTTTGCTCACTACCTGCTCTTCTTGCTAAAATTGCTGTTTGGATGTCTGTCTGTTTAGAGTAGGACTTTTGCACGGAATGTCAGCCAAATTTAAAATGTGTGTTTTTTCTGTTTGTAATGGCTCTGCAGCAGAACCGTTTGAGTGCAGTGGTTGCACCGTGTATATTGCAGCCTACCTGTATTGTGCGTTGTTGAAAGTTTTTATACACAGCACCTCCAGAGTCACCTGTACCAATGAATAGAAACACACAAAGATACAAAAAAACAGAAAACAAAGTCTGAGTCACTCATCTGCACCACTGTCACTGTATTGGAGTATAAAATTTGATATAGAATTAGGAACTTACCGGTACATGCAATATGATCTCTGAAAGGTTCCCGACCACCAGTGCATATGAAGTTATCCGTCACAGCATCTCTCAGTGTATCAGCCGTTATGCCCTCTACACCTACGGCATGTTTGATGCATTCATATCTCTACATCGAAGAGGTTTTAGGAGAAGAATAAGGAACCTGTGCTTACATACCCAAAGACACATGCACAACACAGCTCACAAGTGTAAAACTTACATTATCACCAAGCTTAGCATGGACATCTTTC